CGAGCGGTCGTTACGTGTCAATCATCGGACACGCAGCAGCCACACTGGTCTGGCAGAGAGAAGGAGGAGAGAGACTCCGGCATCATCATCGTCAACGTGTCATCGTGTCGTGACCGCGCCAGTGTAAAGTGTCGCGTACGCGTCGAAGTCTGTGCAGTGTCGCAAGTTCCGTCTCGCCGGCTCCGTGCGACCGCGTGCGGCGCGCCGCACCTCTTGCGCCGGGTGTCCGCCGCCTCTCTCACACTCTGTGCGCCTCCACCTCTCTCGCTTGCGCGTGAGACGCGTGCGCGCGTACTCTCTCTCTCGCTCGCGCGTGACCGGCTGTCATCTCGCTCTCTTTCTCGCATGTGACGTGTCTCTCTCTTGCTCGCTGTGCTGCGTCATTCTTTCTCTCGCTCGCGAACGGTCGACCGAGTGTTTCTCTCTCGCTCGCGAGTGACGTCTCTACTCGCGTTTTCGCGTGCGTTTCATCCACGTCTGCGTTTTATCCGCATCGCCTAGTTCCGTCATTTTATTCGCGCTTGTGTTTGTGCTGTCATCAATTTCCGCGTGCGCTCCGTTCTATCCGTGCCCGCGTTGCGTTTCGCTCGCGTTTGTGTGTTCGTTTGTTTCCGTCCGTATCGCGTCTCGTTCTAGTCTGCGTTTTTCCGAGCGTTTCGCGAGCGTCTTGCGTGCACACGCAGCGTGCGTTTTAGACGCTCCGCTTTTCTCTTGCGAGCGATATATTTCAGGTGCGTTCTTTTCTTTCTTTGTTCTTTGCGATTTCTCGTCTCTAGCGTTTCAGTTCTCGAACGTTCCTTCGTGTCCGCGGTGCCCTTGCTGGCATTGTACGTTTCGTAAAGATAATACTGTCACGCGCTGTTCTCGTGTTCGCGGTGCCCTTGCTGGCATTGTATGTTTTCGATCTCTTTGTTCTATGATATTAGTTTTTAATCGTTGTAAATATCGCGCTATTTGTTCTGTTAACCTTGCGACTTTGATACGTTCTAGAATTAGCGGTTGAGTGTTCAAGAATAAACGTGACCGAGTCAGAACTTCGCGAGACGTTGCTGGCGACGGTCGAACAACAAAATTGTGGCGTGAACTCAGTTAACTTGCCTACTCCTGCCTTTCTGATCTTTCAGAGATTCGAGCCTGCCTTCTTCGGCAAGGCAGTTTCAGCGTAGCCATCACTGGCAGAGCAATTATCCGTTACAACTGTTTTTCTAACACCGAATAACATAAACTTTAACAATTAATATCTCGGTTCGCGGGGCAGGGCGACGCTTTTGTTGCCAGATTCGTTTTGTGCAAAAACGCGTCGAATGAGCCTATTTTTATCAAAATCGGAGGTAGGGGACCTAAACTGAACATTTACCATTAATATAAATCAAATATTTAAAAAATATTCTGTATATTATGTATTGTAACAGGTATACAGATGATATATAGACATCCGACTGAATGCTATCTTACGAATCCAAATGGTAGTGTAAATGACATTGCTGCCATTTGTTCTAAAAATGATGGACATTTGACGATGATGCCGCATCCAGAAAGGTCTCAGAAATGTGGCAGTGGCCTTGGAAACTAACAGGATGGAACTATAATGTCTCATTGGCAACGACTTTTCGACAATGCATATACTTGGTGCCAAGAATACAATTAGAAAATTTATTATCAAATTCAACAACGAATTTTATTTAAAAATATTACTATAAAATATCTTATTTTATTTTTAATACTTGAGATTTATAATATATATTTCTAAAATTTATAATATATGTTCTTACAAGAATAATAAAAATAAAAATGAATAGATAACTAATAAATGTGACATCGTTAAATCAATTATTCTCTATCAAAAAAGCTATGGATATTACAGCCACATATACTCCGCCCAGTCGAAACTCTTAAGCAGAACAATAATTAATATTTACAGCTCTACTATTAATTTCTAAATGATGTGAGAAATGTCATAGTATTTGAATTGTACTATATATACTATATCGTGATCTGATTCACGCTAAAAGCACTATTAGTGTCATTCTATTCTTGTCCCATCTAATGAACAATAAAGATAGAATGACGTTAAAAGCGCTTCGAGCATCAATCGGACGACGGCCTTAGTAGAACATTTAGAAATAGATACTTAGTTTTTGTTTAAAAGGTAATTTTTATAGATAAAGAATCCTATCCTAAAACGCTTAAAGAACTCATTGCGATTGGTTACGGTAAATGATAAACGTCTTATCGCTTTGATATGTAACAAAATTTTCTTATGTTATATATCGCATGTCACGATTTGGTATGCCGTCCGCCTGATTGTCCTTTGCGACATTATCGCTCGCGAAATTAATACGTATTAAGCTATTTAAACATTATCAAGTAGTAGTAGTATCAAGTAGTTGAAAGAATATTTTAACACTATATAAAAGGTCTTTCATCAAATTATTAGAATATCAACATGACATATTTATAAATATTTTCTTTTAAATAGCCATACTTCTATACCTTCTATCCATACTATTTTCTTTGCAGAATACACGCATATATGCCCCTATCTCTTACACATACATACATGCATAATTTAGGATTGTCGATTACTTGACTTCAATAATATTAATCACATTTTATAAAAAAAAAAACATTTATAATTATCTGTTTTTTTAAATAAAATGTTAAGTCTCTTTAAATTTCTGTCTTTAAATTAGAAAAGTTTGATCATGCGGAATTATAATGTCTTTCATTTATCTCGCAATGTTTCTTATTTCTAATTTAGAATTAGCTTAACAATACTTTATTTTAACTTAAAATTACACTATGTAATATCATTACTTATTCTACCTTATTTATGCACTCTTTCACGACTCTTCAGATTCTTCATCATGTATCTTTTTTCACT